CAGTCATACACAAGTCATATACACAGTTCTCAAAATATATTTGAGGAAGAATGTGGGGATGACAATCCTTGAAAGGTCCATTGCCTGATAGTATCAGTTTACATTTGTCTTCATAATTCATCTCTTGAGCAGGATCACATGGTGAAGGCTCAACAGTATCTTCTTCACATCTATAGAGGAAAATAATTGAATGATTCAATGTGTCTCATATATTCTTACAAAGATGATATTAGCAGAATTTTGGTTTTCATACTTTTATATTTTCCGTAATAATAAAATGCTGTATAAAAGGGAGAAACTAGATTGGCTGCAATTAGACACCATTTTACCTTGTTTGACCCTATCATTTCATATTTCTGAGATGTGTCTGTTGTACCATGTACTTGTGTTAAAAAGTATCCTGTTCTCTTTGTATTGATTTCTTTGTGTGAAATACCTGGTGTTCCTGCCAGTCCCCCCTTTTTTCCTCCTATTTCAAACTGACAACACAACAAGGCATGAGAGCACATCCATAGCCAGCGTGGTCAGTTTGCTGACTGCGCTGGGAGAACAGCTTGCCTGTCTTCCAATGGCCAAGACACATGTTATGACAGGCCCCCCTGCAAACCACTCAGATTTTATGTGATCACACAAAGAAAAAAATAAGTATATTGTAATATATTCCATTTCTATTTTAAGCTAAATGTATTGTTTTACAAAGTAAGGGTTAATACACAGTTTAAAAACACATTGTTGACGCTGGATTTAAAACATTTGAAAAAAATAACTTTGTTAGCTCTTTGCATTAATATCTTCTTTGATGTGTTATAACATACATTTGTTTATTAAAAGCAAAATTCGCAGTCCTCTGTTACTTTTTGTATCAATTAAAAATTAACTAAGAGCATCTGTTCAACCCTAAGGCCCCTTAAATAGATGCATTTTGTAATCAGTAATGTCTTCTGATCTAGCTCTTGAGTCTACATCTAGGATTGATCATCAAGGTAACCCTTTTTTTTTATTATACTTACACCCAATTGTCATCACGAACACGCCAGCTGTTTTGCAAAGTCATTGGATGTGGGTGCAAGTACATTTTTAACAGGGTGTCAGAAAGTCATCTTGCTGGTTACCATTATATGTGCCACAGAGTCCACAAAGTTTTCCTTTCAAGTTCATCATTTACTTTAACAAAGAGATTCCTGGTCACCACTAAACTTAACTTCAAGAACCAAAGTCAGTCTGCACAACAACAAAGGAACTACGTAAGTGTATTACGATGCCGGGTGCTGGGTTCACAGGCAGTGATAACAATGAGTCCATTAATCTGAAAGATTAAAGAGAAAAGTACTATAAATGAACTGTGGAGAAAAAAATCAAAAGAAAAAATAATATTAATTTGATTTGCTAAGGGAAACATCATGCATTTGTTTTACTATAGACCCTACCTCAACCACTTTATATTTGCCCATAATGATATTAAAGATCATTGAAGTTGTACTGCAACTGAGTTGATAGCTGTCCAGATTAAGCTTTCCTCTTCTATGCTCATTTCTTGTAGTGATTGAGAAAGTACACACTTGTGTGTTTCCACAGGTCCCACAGCTGTATAATTACAGGCTCCTTGGAAATGGTATGATTTGCCATCAAATGTTATGTAGTGTGGATCACCATAGATATGGGCAGGTGGAGGTATCAGCAAGGAAACAAGCCTTGATTCCATTTTGGACTTTGCAAACTTCTTCAGGATTACAAGTCTGAGCTTTACAGCTCACAAGATTGTTTCCCTTGACATGTACAGCGACTGTCACATTCCCCTTTCCAGAATAATATCTCATTTTTCTGTAAAATTAAAACATAGAATTGAATAATCCATTCCCAATGTTGATAATAATGGAATTAACAGTACATCAAATACGGTTTTCTGGATGCATATAAGTGTAATAGGAGCATTATATGAGATGCTAGTAATCTGACTAAAAGACCTCTTCTTCTGGTGTCCCCCCACCTGCATTATAGGCTCCTCTTCCTCTGCACGTGCCATCATGGGAAGCCTCTGTTTATGGTGGCACATTTGCAGGGCCCACTCCTGAGCCTTGCTGTTTGCGTCCATTGACACGTATACATATGGGTGTGCATTCTAGCAGATGAGCCTGCGGGGGGACCACTTTGGATTGTTTTTTAAATCCCGATCCTACCGCTGTAAGGAAAACCTTTATGGAGAGGAAAATGCAAGCTACTATTGCTGACCTCTCTTTCTGAAAATGCTGAATGCCTGGTTGTCCGTGGGATCCACTGTTTTTTTATGCTCTGAAGCACTTAAAACAAGCATGGAGATCAGGAGTTCTGACTTCACTCATTGCATGCTTGTTCTACAGCACTGAATTAGCACTACAGCTACAGCAAGTCAGGCAATTAGCAATGGTAGTGCTTATAATTCCCTCAGTGTGCATTTTTTATTAAATAAATACATACATTGGTTGTCAGCATATGAGAAATCAGTAAGAATGTCTTGAATACAAAAATTAATTGTTTCATTTTCGTCATCATTTTGGACCACATTTAAAAAACGAATCAAAATGATAACCATTAATAAAATAAACACAGCATCACTTACCTGATAGTACTGGCCATTATAAAAACACCCACATTCACTGACAGGGACACAAGTGTGTCCACTGAGCACAAAGCCATTATCGCATGCACAAGCATCAGTACAAGGCCTATTGCAGTCACTCGGAGCACTCTGGTCTAGGCATGTGGCTGGGCAACCCACTGGCACAAGGATTGTAGTGACTGTTGGCAGGACATGGGATGGCTAAATAACAAGGACAGATAACCATTAACTACATCATATAATAGCTAAAAAATAAGGCAAAAGAAAAGGCTTTGCTAATCAAAGGTCATAATTACAGCCATGGCACACCATGGGACTGCTTGGAAAACTAAAAGAACTTAGTGCACGCTGATGATTATTTCATTTTTATAAGTAGTAATAAAAATTGTCAAAAACCCATTTGGATAAGAATAATGTGCTTATTGATTCAGAAAACTATTATCAATTACATTGTATTATTCTGAAAACATTCATAGAAGATGGATCACAAAAAAAAAGACCAAATGATCTTTTGAAGCTATATCCATCCCCATTTCAATTTTAAATATTTTTAGTCTGTGGATAGATCTGCTATATGCTTTCCCCTTAATGTGTAAATGATCATACTGTTGATTGCATCACTAGGGAATCACTACTGAGACCTTAAAGTAGAAGTTTAGGCTATATTCCATTGCAAAGCACAGTCTCCAGTGACTTCCCTACTCTATAGAATATAGTCCTATTGTTAGCCCTTCACATTACACCTAAGGAGCTGGAGCTTTGTGGTTCCATAATCACAAAGGAAAACGTGAGAAAATTGTATTTAAAATTGTGTTTTCTGTAAATATGTATGTTGCACAATGGAGATCAGCGGGGTGACACTCTTTAAAAGGTCTCCCTATGGAATCTCATCACACATAGTAATGGCTTTACAGTAATAATGGCATATACTATAATATGATTACAAAAAAAAACTTTAAAGTAAAACAAATACCTATAAGTTATGTTGTTTTGTAAACTATATATCAGCTTTCTTTGCTTATAAATATTAACTGCTCAGCATTTTTCTCTTAGCACTGACATCCAAGTGATGCTGTAATAGAGTCAACAAAATTATCAAAGCACTTGCACTAAACTCTGAATAAAAAAGCATTTTACACTCCTCTACATGAGTCCATTTTCTAAAATGTCATTCTGTAGGGGAGCTCAAAGTGTTCATGTGATTCCACATAGGTATGTCAAAAAGTATGTCCTCAGCCTCTGGCTGCTGCAGTTCCTCCTGACAGCCTTTAGGCCAATACTGTCTCTTGCTGTTACGAGGGGGGGTCAGTAGGAGGAGCCCTTAGTGGCTAGTGGGAACATTTCTATTCGACCAGCCTGGAAGCTCTCCTACAGGGTGAAGTTTTATCCTATAATCTGATGAACAGGTATGTATGAAACTATTTTATTTTTTAACAGGTTAGTGCCTGTCTAATTTTGTTGAGCCCCTGGTAGGGTCACCTTGAACAAGGTACAGTGTAAAATGGTTGAAGATCTGTATGAACAATAGCATTGCTGCCTGTTTAAATATGTACCTGTTTAATGTGTAGGTTATTTTCCCATGAAATTACTACCATAAGAGAATACATCTTTTTTCTCTTTACCCAAGATGCACAAGATTATTCCCACATTAAAGTACTTACAAAACAAAACCATTACTTACGACAGAAAGTAAAGTTTCTCCAAGCAAGGGTGACTCCTGCTCTTAGACACGTATCAGCGTAAGCTTCCAATGCTTTACATAAACTGCCAGCACCAAGTGCACACAGATCGAAAACACAGCTGTCAAAGAAGCGATCTGGATTGATTACTGAGTGACAAGCCTTGAAAGGACTATCTTTACCGGTTAACAAACCACAGAACTGATTGTTTGAATAGAGTTCCTCTGTCTCTGGTGGACATGGTGTTGGAGGTGTAGGAACAATTGTGTTACATAATGGATCGTCAACTTCTACCTTCCAGCTGTCTCCCAACTGATTTGAGTTCTGAGCTAGGTGTCCATTGGGCATCAAAATAGTCATCCTGCCTGATGCCATTAAAGTTGCCACACATTCCACAGGTTTGGTTGAAATAATCAGTTGGGACCTTCACGTCTACTGTGTGATCAGTGTCATAAGACACTGTGAGATGGAAATCCGTCTCAACAATAACATATCGACCACTTTGTTTTACTGTTAAAGATCCATTGAACCAAGGTGACTGGAAGATTTCTCCAGATACCATCCACCTGTTAATGATAAATGTGCATGTTACAATGAAACAGCTAAATGCAACTTTAGAATTATTATAAATGCAATTTTAGAATGTTCCAAAAACCTACCAGAACTCGACTAGGCTCAGCTTTAACAATGGTTATTTTATGGTCAAAAACATCCACCATAACTTTCTGTATATATGATACTGTTGTAATCCCATGACGATGCTCATTTTTTGCTTCAATGTTAAAATATGGCAGAGATGTGGATTGGTACAAAGCTTGGAAAGAGTATATGTGCATATTCCCATAAAATGATGAACTTCCTTATCAAAGGTGTCATAATGGGGATCCCCCCAAGTTACACAGTTACCAAATGTGAGATCAAAGCAGCCAGGAACTCCATTTGTTATACCGCAGTATTTTCCAGGTGGACATGAAGCAGAGGTGCAAACTAAACTGCCTCCAGCAGAGGGACATCTGCATTTTTTGGAGCAGGTATCATCAGTCCAGAACTCTGAGCCTACAGGATAATGCTTGTCACTATCCCAGCATCCACATTGGTGGCTTTGGACACATCTCTTATCATACAGGACATAGCCAGGATCACAGACACAGGATTCTGTACAGGGGAGATGACAGTTTATTGGTAATCCTGGTTTGACGCAAGTAGATGGACAGGCCGTTCCACAGACCTCGTAGTGGCTGTTTTGTGGACACTTCAGTGCTGTATAAAAATACAATTGTGAACAAGAAACTAATTAGAAGAACATTTCAATTCAGTTTGGAACCTATGGTACGTTGTAATTAATGTACATGTAGAAAAAGTACATAAAAACTTGAGAGATATTACCATCATAAAAACATTCATATTCACTAGCAAATAGACTTAAGGGAACACTGAGAATAAAGCTCATATTGTCTTCATATGTTTTAATTGTTTAATATTAACACAATCAGCCATGCAGTAACCAGATTGTGCCTAAATATAGTAATAGGCCAATCTGCCATAATCAGGGATGAACTGACCATTTGGAAACTCGGGCAGCACTGCCCGAGGGCCCGGGGTCAGTAGGGGGCCCAATGAGATGCCCCTGGTACCTTTTTCATAGGCTTTTTTGAGTTTGGGCAAGGACACAGGGGCCCCATGATCCCCTATTGCCCAGGGGCCCCATGAGTTGTCAGTCCACCCCTGGCCATAAGAGACCCCTCCAGAATACTACGTTCTTCTGTTCATATATTATTAATGACTTAGGCTCTCCACACATCCAGCATATACGGTATGTCTCGTCTATATACAGTATTCACCTGTGTGTCTCTCAGTCAAGGGCATGCATCCATACAGTATACCCTATGCCTTTGGCCATTCCTTACATCATCTTCTTTCATAGCAGTTAAATCTTCCCTTAACCGCTTAAGGACCGTCCTGTGCGCAGGGTCACGTATATATGTCATTCTGCATTTCCGGGTAGATGGGAGCATGCGAATCGTGCACGCGCCTTACCCACGCCGCCGATCGCGACCAAGGGTTTCAATCACCAGGTTCCAGCCACTGATTACCCACCTGTGCCCGGTGATTACCGACAATCACCAATAGGGAGGAGGGCTGTCAGTTTTGGCACACAATGCTCTGGATGGCTGAGCAGAGCCATCCAGAGCAGTGTGCTTACAGTGAAGCACACCCCCCCTGCCCCCTAGTAAAACACTCCCATCACACAGTTAACCCTTTGATTGTCCCTCATGTTAACCCATTCCTGCCCAGTGCCATTAGTACAGTGTCAGTGTGTTTTTTTTTTAATACTGATCACTGTATTGGTGTCACTGGGGATGTCAGGGACACCAAGTCAGTTCACCCCATAAGTCGCGCGCCATAAGTCGCTGATTGCCGCCATAAGTCGCTGATCGCCGCCACTATTAGTACAAAACAAATTCCAGTATCTATACCACCATTTGTAAATGCTATAAATTTCCCGTAAACTAATTAATTTTCATGTATTGGAATTGTTTTTTTTAGCAAAGACATGTTGCAGAATACATTGTGGCCTAAATTTGATGAAATTAGATTTTTTTATTTTTTTTACTGGACATGTTTAATAGTAAATAGTCCAAAATATTGTTTTTATCTCAAAATTGTTGGTCTTTTTTTTTTATAGCGCAAAAAATAAAAAAAACACAGGTGATCAAATACCACCAAAAGAAAGCTCAATTTGTGGGAAAAAAAGGACGTAAATTTAATTTGGGTGCAGTGTTGCATGACCGCGCAATTGTCAGTTAAAGTAACGCAGCGCCGTAACACAAACAGCTTCCTGAGCGCCCTATAGCAAAAATACTGCTACAGGTGGCACGGGTGCGCAAAATCACGTGTATATATACGTGATTCGCGCTCCCGTGATTTTCACGCCCCTCCCAGATAGCGTCAGATTGCCCCTCAGTACACCAGTAATTACATTTAAACCCCTTAATTGCCAGGAACATGCTCACACAATAAACCTCCATTGCTAGTATAGTGTCTGAATGGATCAATATCTTTGATCAGATCAGCACTATACCAGCGTTCACATTAGTATAGTGTCCCCAAAAAACGCATCGTTTGTTGGATCAGCCCTGGGCACCTGCCAGCACCTGCATTAGCTCCTACGCTTACCACCCCTTCTCCCCCAGCAAGTGCAGTGTCAGTAGATCACTGTCACTTGATACATTGCACACAAAACTGCAGTGTTTGCAGGATCAGGCCTGATCTCTGTTAGCATTCCCCAGCAAATTTTGATGACTCTCAAATGCATCAGAGTGCCAGTACTAGTGCCACTCTACCTTTTGGAGAACTGGTGAGCACCAGTGGCCTAGTACATCCTGATCTTTCACATACCAGCACTGCACTATCACTTGGTGACGTGGTGAGTTCCATAAGTGTAGTACAAGCTGGTGCGGTGGCGAGCACAAGTATTGTCCCGCAGCCACAATGAATTCGCACACAGGCCCGTAGAGCTCCTAGTATCCTTCCAGATGTGCTTGCAAATCCCGATTGGCACCCAACAAATTCTGCAGCACCCATACTTCCCCCATTCACTGCCCAACCCGGAATTCAGGTGGAAACAGCAAATTTACCTAGTCCCTTTGATTTGTTGGAGCTGTTTTTCACGGAAGATCTGTATGCATTGATTGTGGATCAAAGCAATTTGTATGCACAACAATTTATCACTGCCAACCAGGGGCGGACTAACAACTCATGGGGTCCCCGGGCAATAGGGGATCATGGGAACCCTGTGTCCTTGCCCAAACTCAAAAAAGCCTATGAAAAAGGTACCAGGGGCATCTCATGGGGCCCCCCTACTGACCCCGGGCCCTCGAGCAGTGCCCGAGTTTACAAATGGTCAGTCCGCCCCTGCTGCCAACCCAAATTCAAACCTTGCCAGACCATTCACATGGAAACCCATTAAGATTTCCAAATTTAGTTTTTTTGGGGGGCCTAACCCTCAACATGGGTATTACTAAAAAAATGAATTGGGGTTGTATTGGTCCAAAGACCTGATTCATCATATGCCTGTGTTCTCTGCTGCCATGGCCAGGCATAGATATGAGAGTATAATGTATTTTATGCATTTCAATGACAACACACTCTGTCGTCCTCAGGGTGACCCTGAATTTGACGGGCTCCACAAAATTCGGCCCCTTATAAATCACCTTAACCAAAAATTTGCAGATGTCTATACACCCCAACAAAACATCTGCGTTGATGAGTCCCTCATTAATTTTTCTGGACGCCTTGCATTCAAACAATTTCTCCCCAGTAAGTGTGCCAGATATGGGGTCAAGATGTATAAGACCTGTGAGAGGACAACAGGCTATACATATAAGTTTCAGATTTATGAGAGAAAAGATAGTCACGAGCAGCTGCCCTGGATGCCCAGACTACATGGGGAGCAGTGGCAAGATAGTTTGGGACTTGGTGTCATCCTTTTTCCATATGGGGTACACTTATATGTGGACAATTTTTATTCAAGCATGGCATTATTTAGACATTTATATCTTGGAATCTTGGAAATGGCTCATGTGGCACCCTGCGACTTAATGTGTGCCCACCATTAGAAGTGGGTGGATGCAGGGCGGTATATTCTAATAGTGGGCATACCACACACGTTTTCTGGCAGAGATTTCTTCTCTTTTTTTTATTCAGCCCACAGGCTGCATAAAAAAAAAAAAACATAGAATATATACCCAACGAGGACCAGCGACATTCTGGTACCTCACTGGAGTTTGAATGGTTTATACCAGGATGATGCCTACAGCTCCAGGCATCATCCTGTATTGTTTTTTCAGCCGGCGATCGGCTTTCATTTAATAACAATCCTAGTGGACAATTAGCTGCAATTACAAGCAGCAGGAGATGATGCCCCTACTCCCCTGCTGCCTTCCATAGCCTTCTCGGGCAGTCCTGTGCCATCGGGGGAACCTGAGAATGCAGCCGGTGTTTCTGCCAACTGACCATAGAGCTGATTGGAGACTGGAATGGTGCCAATCATCTCTATAGTCTAAGAAATCGGAAGCTGCGAGCATTTCATCACTTCAGTTTGGCACGATATCAACAGCGCCATTTGTAAATTGGGAAAGCATCTGATCACATCGATCTTGGTGAGATTAGATAATGTAAGGGCAGAAGAGATATCTAGAGAGTCTGATAGACCCCAGATTTCTCAAAAAAGAATATAGGACAATGCCCATTGAAGTTATAAGTGATATTTGCATTCCCTGTGATAGCATTAAAGGTGATCCAAAAAAAAATTAAAGGGATAGTGTAAAAATAATTTAAAAAATCAAAATAACTTTAAAAAAAAACACCCTCGCCCCCCCCCCCCCGCATGTGCGAGTGTTGACCCTGTGTCGGTATGTAAACAGCAGTTGCACCATGCATGTGAGGTATCACTATGAACGTCTGATCAAGGGCAGTAATTCTAGCACTAGACCTCCCCTGCAAATCTAACATTGGAGCTTCTAAAGGCTTTTAAAGCGTTGCCTATGGATATTAAAAATGTATGCAGTTTGTCGCCATTGCACGGGGCATATGCAGTTTTAAAGCATGTTATGTTTGGTATCTATTTACTCAACATACCATCATCTTTTATATTTTACCAAATAATTGGCCAATAACTGTGTTTTTTTGTGCATTAAAAGTACATTTTTTTCAAATAATTTGTGTTTGAAAAATCACTGCTCAAGTACTATGTGACTTAAAAAATTGCAGCACCCACCACTTTATTCACTAGGGTGTTTGATATAAAAATATATATAATGTTTTGGGGGTTCAAAGTAATTT